CCCATATTTATTGGAAAGGGTTCTAATGTATCCCCATTGAATATGATGTTTGCCTTCAGTTTTCAATAGATGCTTTTTATCATAATTAAAAAGGCCCCTCTATATTTATTTTTTGTATAGTTTTTAGCATAAAATAGTGCTATACTACATATGGTTTTGAATATTTTGATTTTTAATGATTAATTTTATTGATTGTTTTCCTAATATAAAACTGTCTTAATATCCCTGGTATAAATCTTACTTGGTCTTAATGAATGATTTCTTGGATAAATCACTGGTATATTTGACAGGATTTTTAAAAAAATAGTAAATACTCATTGGTGATATTGGCCTATAGCTTTTTTCTTCATTTTATATTACCCTGGTTTAAGTGTTAGGACTATATTTGTCTCATAAAAAGATTCTGATAGGATATGCTCTCAATTTTTTAGAATAATGAATAATAATTTTCTTTAAAAAAGTTTGGCAGAATTTCCCCATGAATCCATAAGGATGAATATTCCCCACTTTCCACCCCCGGTAGTTTCTTTACAGATAAACTAATTTCCTTTCCTTTTTCAATCTTCCTCACCCAGTACTAAGATGGCAGCCTGTTTGTATCCTTCTACTCACTGAATTTTTTGTTGGCATTTTATATTTGGTATGGGAAATTATATATGTGTATGTATATATAGCACCTGCATGATAGCTATAAGTGTATATATATATATATATATAGTTACAATATACTTGTACATGCATACATATACATATATATACATACATATACACACATATATACATACATATTATATATATATGTATATATGTGTGTGTATATATATATATACATATATATGTACTTGGAAGTCACTGACAATTAGAAATGAGGGGCTGCAAGCTGGAAAGTAGGCAGCCAGGAAGGCAATGGCATACTGCAGCAAAGAAGAAAAAAGAGAGAAAGAAAAAGAGAGAGAGTTAGAAAGAGGATCAGTTATCAATGGAGCAGTAAAGCAAACAACCATAGTAACACAGTGTTCAATAAAATCAAAGGTAAGTTACTTGAAGGAATCACTATTTCATATTTACTCATGGCACAATTGGATAGCTGTCTGGCAGAAATCAGGTTTGGATCAACACTTCATAATAACTCCAATACTATTCAATCCAATCCAACCAACACAATATCTATATACATATGTATATGTGTATATATGTATATATGTATATATATACATATATATGAAAAGTGAATTGTCAATCCTAAAGTGCAACATAAATGCTAACTTGTTTTAATTTTTGTAATTTTTATGTAAGCTCCCCAGAAAATCATTCAAAAAACCAGATGAATGTTCCCATATGAACTTCAGACAAAGATGTGAAAGATTGTAGAGGAGTGTAGGTCTCCCACAAATACCTCAAAAAAGATCTAAAATGAAACCAGCAGTCTCCACCTCCAAGAACCACCATATGCTTCAGTACAGTCCAGGGCAAACAGGCACCCTCCAGTGTCCAGACCTCTACATGCTTAAGTGTAGCCTCAGAAAAATGCAGAAATATCCTACTGGGCCTCAGCACATGCCAGATACCACCACTAGGACCACAGCTCAGCACCAGGTAAGTTGATAGACCCCTACAGCCTCCAGCAGCACAAGCAACCCCTGACCCCATCCCTTAACAGCATCAGACATGAGGGTCCCCCATGGGCCTCAGGGGAACATAGGCATGGACTATTTCCCCTAGGAAATAGGAATAGTTTGATCTCCTTTGTTGGTGTTTATGATTTTGATTTCATTTTATTGTATGACTACTATGTAGTCTTGGTGTAGGAACTAATTGTTTTTCTTGGTTTTGGTTAACTCATTTCAACCTGCACCTGTGCTGGAAGATCTTATGATCACATAGTTACATGGCTATATTCTCAGGGGAACATCATTACAACACTAGGTAAACAGCCAGGGCCTACAGCCACTGGCACAAGAAGCCTCAGACAGAACCCCTTCTACCCTGGAAGCAGAGCTCAAATTTAAAAGAAAGGAAAAAGACCAAAAGAATCATCATAATTCCTGAAAACCATGACCAAACAAAAAACTTAGATTTTTAAGAAATCATAAATCAAAATAGTCTTGGACTGTTAGAACTAGAATGCAAAGTGAAAAATATGAAGAATTTCCCAGTCACCCTTTGTAGAAAAAAATGAAAAAAAAAAACAAGGAACATGATACTCAATATAATTCAATGATTAAAAGTCAAATAATAATACTTCAAGAATCCAGAAGAAAGAAATAGTTCAAATACTAAGGAACCACAGACAGGTTCACACAAATCTTGTCAACAATATAAAGAAAAGAAAATCTTGGAATATGATATCACAAACCGCAAAAGAGGCAAGCTTAAAAACCAAAAATAACTGAACCTGAAAAACTGAACATAATCCTGTTGGGGGTGAGGTTGGGGGAGGATGTTGTATTTCTAATAGAATAGAAAATTTTCAAGTGTCTCTTTTTTTAAAAGCCAGATCTGGTTAGAGTCTTTGAAATACAAAAAGAAAAGATAAGAGAAATGTGAGAATTTATAAGGGGCAACATGATGATAAAGTTCTTGCATTCTGTAGAGGGAAAAGACACAAATGTCCCTTCAAGGCCTGGTGGTGGGTTTTGATCCATCTTGTTAAGTTTGAGAAGAAAGAAAAGAAAGGCAAAATCAATACATTACAGAAGAAATAACAAAGCAGGGTTGGGAACTTCCAATTTATCCTAAGTGGTGTATGTGGTAAAGAGGATGGAGGAGGGATATCATGAACTGCATTCATCATCAGTATCATTATAGCATTAATTTTATATTTTGAAGTTTATGAAATGCTTAGCATGCCATCTTATCTGTCCTGAGAACAATGCTCTTAGGTAGGTACTATTATTATTCACATTTTACAGATAAAGAAACTGAAGCTAAGAGAGCTTGAATGACTTGCCCAGGATCACACAGCTAGTAAAAATTTAAGGCAGCATTTGAAACCAGGTCTTCCTGACTCCATGATCAATGCTGTATCCATTGAACTGCCTAGCTCCTACTAAGTGCTCCTGGAATAATACCAAATATTTAGTATGAAAAAGGAATTTAGTAGGTTTTCTGATTTTTTCAATGACCAAGTACCAGTGGGCTTCAGATTTTGAGATAGGATGTAACTGCATCACATAACAAAATTTGTTTAATTAAACACATTTTATTTTGTTTTATTTTGCAATTAATTCTTTAGGTGAGAGTGAAAGCTGTATTACCAGAATCATCATAAAGATTCAGAAAATCTATTCTGTGATGTTTTTGGCTAAGGGGATCATACTATCTACCTCACCCTAGAAGTACTTTACCTCTCACTTAAGATATCCATCTGGTCATTTTGGAATACTTGACTCAAATTTTTCAGCAGATTTTCCTGCATGCGTGGCTAATATCAAGATTATCATATCCTTAGGAATGGGAAATGAGGCTAGAGATCCTATGTGCACAGGAAAAAAAGAAAAGAGAAAAAAGACCAGTTTCTCTCTTATAGGATAACAGCTAAAATCAGGCTATTATTGGTCAATGAGCTTTGGGAACAGATTTTCTGTTATGCAAGTGACATCAATACTGAGCGTTCAACTTTAGCAAAGTTGGGAGACCTCAGAATGAGGAACAGCACATCTAAAAATGTCTCTGACACAGGAAAAGATGGCATTTGTATTTCACTCACTAGAGAAATGAACATACAAGTTTTTGGAAGAATGATTTGGCTAAATTTTTTTAAAGATTTTTAAATCTTTAACTTTTAGTCCAAATTAAGAGTATGCTCAATTTTTTTTGGTTAATGTGAAAGAATGTTGCTAGTAGTGTAAATATTTATGTTGTCTATGTTTTGAAGTCCAGCTGGTGCTGGAGGACTACCTCAAGGCTTGTTTAAATTACCTTGGCAAAGGATTTGCCTCAGAAACACATAAGCAAAATACTTTTGAGGAAAAAAAAGGTGAAATTTCATTTTAAGAATTTGGTTTACCTGACTTCTGTGTGAATCATTTTGAATTATTTGGCAGAACTTAATATAAATTAGAAGCAGAGTCACTTGAAAAGAATTAGATTATATCCTGCATTTACGAATTCTTAAAAACCATATTGGAAATGTTTATTTGACAAAATGAGAAACTGTCTGTAAACCTGGAAGTATCAGCTCTAACCACCTAAAAGCAAAGTTTTACAAGTTTGACATGTATATGTATATAAAAAAACAAAATATGCACTAATTCACAAAAGTGATTCATGGGGGTGGGGCTTGAAGATGGGGAAGAGACAAGCATACTACACATGAAAACAATTTGAAATGAGATTTGAAAATAGAGAAGTTTAAGAAATGAATTTCTGAATTCAGCCAGTATAGAATGACAAAATTGGTATAGGATTTTTGTGTATATTTTTTTCTGAGTAGATGATCTGGAGATGCATTCAACTGGATTAATATCATTTCACTGGCTGCATGTTATGATCTTTTCTTTGTTCAAGATTCTTATAAATGTTACCGCAAATCATCTTGCAGTGCAGAATCATGTCCAAGGATATGTAGGGGATCATTCCAGTTTGAACACCTCTCTCTCTAATGTAGAAAGGGCTTTGATATTGAATAATGATAATTTAAATAAAATTGTTTCTGGCAGACTTGTGTCTAAAATATATAATATCACTATTTTTTTCCCTCAATAGGACTAGACTGTAAGGGGCTTTAAGTGCCAAACACTGGCAGTTATAATTCACCCTTGAGGCAATAGAAAGCCACTGGAGTTTTTGAGCAGTGACACAGACAGACCTGTTTTAGGAATATCACTGGCAGCAGCCATGGGGAGGATAGATTGGAGAAGTAAGGGACCTGAAGTGTAGAATTGAATTAGGAGGCTATTGCCTATACAGGTGAGGAAGAGGATATGAGAGACTGAATTAGGGTGGTGGTTGTAATAATACAGAGCAGGAGAGAGATGTGAGAATTGCTGTGGAGGTAGAAACATCAAGACAGCCATCTGGACCAGGCCGATCGCACAAAACTTGCCGATCTCCTGGTTAGTTCTCATGGACAGCTAACGGCCTGGAAGATGGCTCTGCGCATTTGGAAGAAGATGGGTAGGAGGGAGCTGTGCGAACGAACCAGGAACGGTAACGGTCCTCCTGAGGGCTGAGGCTTCTCCAGCCAACTTGCGCAGTCCCCCGATTCCTTCCTTCCGCCTTCCCTATTTCCTTCCATCTTTTCTCCCTCTGTTCCTTCTTTCTTTCCTCCCTTCCTCTTTCCTTCCGTGGAATTCTTTTTCTAGGGCTTCTCCCAGACCAAAATTACCTTATATTCACTCTGCATAGATTTTGTGTCTACAAGTAATTTCCTGTTAAAGAATGTAAGCTTCTTCAGCTTCAGCACTATTTCATATTTACGTTTGTATCCCCAGTACCTAGCCCAATGTTTGCACATCATACGTATTTGATAAGTGCTTATCTAATAATTTCTGACTTTTGACTTTAGAATTAAGAGGATCCCATTGGATTACAGGACATAGGGCTGAGATAGGGAGGGAGGGTTATTACTATGCTTTTCCCTAACAGTGAAGATGGGAGGAGTGGAGTTCAGTCACTGTTCCCTGACACTGGAGAGGAAGAACATCTGGGCCATGAGGAGAGTTAACTGGTGGCAAGAGAGTGTTCAGGAGGGGCCAATAGGTGGGGGAAGGAATTGAAGAGAAAGGGAGATGGTTGATCTGGGAGAATGGAGCTAATGGAGGAGATTTCAGCAGTGTCCTCAACTGAGGAAAGGAAAAAAGGGAAGTGGGGACCAGTGGAGAAAGAAGGAGATGAAATGAAATGGGTCAGTTTTTGATCAAGTATTGTATCTCAGCACAAGGAAAATGACCCACTAAAGATCATGATTAGAATGCCAAATTTAAGACAATTTCCTGGAGTCTTCTGAGTCAGGGGAAAAGGTGGAAGTTCTTTTCTTTTTGGAAATGAGTGCTCAATAACAAGAAGTCCATCCGATGGCATGCGCAAAAGCAAGGATGAGAAAGAAGTTGGTTCTATTAAAGAACTTTTTGTTGTTGAGTCATGACTCCTCCTGATCCCATATGGGGTTTTCTTGGCAAAGATACTGGAGTGGTTTGCCATTTTGTTCTCCACTTCATTTTACTGATGAGGAACTGAGGCAGACAGCATTAAGTGACTTGCCCAGGGTCACATAGCTACTAAGTGTCTGAGGCCAGATTTGAACTCAGGAAGATGAGTCTTCCTGACTTCAGGTTGAGTGTTCTATCCATTGTGTTCCCTAGCTGCCCTAAACCTTAATGGGTCACTACCAAAAGGTTACCCCATAGGCTGGCACCCACTCCGGCCTGGGACTTGATATTCAGGTACCATGGATCAGGGAGGAGAGAATAAACATGAAACAGCCAGAATTGTCATTTAAAGCTTTAAAGTGGACACAATGGCTTAGGATCTTTAAAACAGTGGTGTGATATTTGTGACCCCATCTCTCACTGGGTTTCCCAGACTAGTTCAGCCTTACCAGAAAACACTGAGGTCTAAACCATAAGCTCTCTGTTCACTTAAAACTTCCTTTAAGAGTCCTGGTGTATGCTGAACAATTTTACCCACTTAATATCTGTCTCCTGTTTGAACATCTGAAGTCAATTATTAAAAAAGTTAAAACTCCTCCTTTATTCACCTACAATTCAAAGACAAGAACCAACAGGAAAACAACATTAAACCAAGCTTCTACTCAGCTGGAGATAAGAGGGTGCTAGATCCTCTCCTTTCCTCCACCTGGGCAATGCAGAAGATCCTCCCACTTCCTGGAGACCTAGATCCAGTTCCACTTCCTTCAAGAAGTCCTCTCTCTCTCTCTCTCTCTCTCTCTCTCTCTCTCTCTCTCTCTCTCTATCTCTCTCTCTCTCTTTCCCTCTATCTCTCTCCCTCTCTCCCTCCCTCCCTCTCTTCCCCACCCCTTGAACTCCTGGTTCTCTACATGTATTTGGTATAGGACTGCCTGGCACATAGTGCTTAATAAATGTTGGTTGCTTAATTGACTCACTATCCCATATAGTTAACCTACCAAAGTTTACAAATTATATTATTCTGCTTGTGTCAGTCAAAAAGCCTTATTTGTGGAGTCTGTGGTTCTGAGACCCCAGCATGTTTCATTCCAACTCCTCAAGGCCAAACTGAAATCTGCTCCCTAATGCTGTCCTTCAGCTCCATTCCTACTTTCAGCTCCCAACTATCTACTTATGCACCAGATGGGTCTCTCATTATCTTCTGGTTTTCTTTCCCACAGAGGATCTTGGATCAGTTCCTGCTCCAGTTCTTCCAGCCTGCTCAGGTCAGTAATCACTGTCAATGTAGAAGTCTAGCCTCATTTTTTTTTTCATTTGTCATCCTGTACCTCATATTTTCTATCAATGGGGTCCCAACAGTAAAATTTAAGGGGATATGCTGTAGGAACCTGGACCATTTCCCCAACCATTAAGTAAATTAAAGTCTTGTGGGTTTTAGCAGATAATTTGCCTCCTAGGAGGGCAAGATGGAAAAATGCTGGTAGTGCCTTTGTTTAGTAACAGGGTGAAATGGTCAGACCTACACTGTATTGATGCTAGACGTAATAAAGAAATGCTAGAGTTTATTGATGAGGAAAATAATATGATCAGATGTGTGCTTTAGTAATGTCACTTTTGTTGTAGTATAGTAGATGGAGAATGGGGAGATTTGAGATGAGATATTGACTAATTAGGAGGCTAATGTAATAGTGCAGGAGAGATAGCATACTCCTAGATCTAGTGATGCTGACCTAGTTTTTTCCATGAATAAGACACTCCATTTCTAGCCTTTTGGAATTTTCTCTGGCTGTCCCCCATGCCTGGAATACTCTTCCCTCATCATCTCCTCCTACTGATTTCCCTGGCTTGTTTTTAGTACCAACTAAAATACCATCTTTTACACTAAAGTACTCCTGACACCTCTTAATGATGGTGCCTCCCACGTCTTAATTATCTTCTATTTAGCTTGTGCATACCTCATTTGTACCTATTGATTTGCTCTTTTCCCCAACTGTTCTGTGAGGGAAATGACTGTCTTTTGCTACTTTTTGTGTCCTCAGTGCTTAGCATAGTGTCTGATATATACTCTATACTTAACAAATGTTTATTGACTGATTAATAAAGATTCTTATACATATGTGTGTGTATTATATATATGTATATATATATGTATATACACTTAAGCATGGACATGAAGTACACACACATATATACATAAACCCTGACATACATAAAAAATACATTTATACCCATATATACAAATTCACTCATGGCTCCCAGAAAATCTTTCCAGGTTACTTTATGGTTCATACTGTTTCGCAAACTATAGCTCATGACTCCTTCTTCATTAATATGTTTACTTTTACTAATCATCAAAATTATATGTTTAGTTTAAATCAAAGTCACTCAAAGAAGTAATATAGAGCAAATGTATCAAAAATGTGGCCCTCAGGCTGCATGCAGCCTACAACACTCCTGAGTGCAGCTTGAAACAGATGAAAATAGTACTGGGAAATATTTAAGTAAATATATTAAAATATAACAAAATACAGATAATATTGTATTTTAAAATTGGCATAGAGATCCTTATGTGTGCAGACTAGTAGCCCCCATTTCTATTTCTGTTTAACACCACTAATGTAGAGGGAACTCATTCTCCTACAAATAGAAATCCTCAGTCAGAAGAGTAAAAATGACTAAGAATTGTATATGGGATATGTACACATGGGGATACATTTGATCAGAGCCTACGTATTAAGGGATAGTTAACATTATGCTGAGACCTGCTGGTGTCTTCTGGAGGTGTCATTGATAGCTCTAGTGCTACTCTCTGCCAAATCTTCACTTTATTGGGTGCCATATCTCCAGGGCACCTTAATGAGTGGTGTAGTTCCACTTTAGCTAGTCTTCAGCCCTCCAGCTATCTTTCTGGCTACCTAATACAGTTTGACCACCTTATGCAGCATCTAGTTGGTATGGTGGATGGGGTGCTGGACAAAAAGAAAATCACTAAATGGTAGAGATCCTGTGACTCCTGATGGTCTTTTCCTGTACTACCCCTGAGAGTGTTAAAGGCAGGATTGAAGCCAGATCTCTCCTGACTCCTTGTCCAGTGCTGCCTTTCTAGTGCTCCTTTTCTCTTCTATTACTGCTTTACCTTTTCACTTTTCATTGTGACCCACCTCCAAAAGAATAGGATAAAATTGAAAGCACACCCAGAGAAATAATAAACACAAAAATTTTAACAAGAACATGAGGCAACACACAGAGTCTACACTTTGTCTATTATGCAAAAATATTATCAATGTGATTAGTTGCACCATACTTCCCTATGACCTAGCAGTCAGTATAATAAAGTCAAGTTCTGAAATTTCTTGGGGAGTCAAGGGAGGAAGGGAGCAGCAGAAAAGGATGAGTAACTACACAGTAGTTAGGCTGAAGATCAACTGTGCCTTGGCCAATACCCTAACTCCCTGGAAGGAAGAGGCCACCAAGAATCTTCCAGGAGAATGCAGAGTGCATCCCAGTTCATCACCTGAAAGAAGAGTTCCTCCATGCAAAAACCTGAGATGCACTGGGGACAGATTCAATCAGTCCCATATGGAACATATGCACTAATTTCTGTCTTTCCACAAGCCATGAAAATTTATGACCTTTTTTCCCCCAACCTGGATATAAATATAGATATATTTTAGTGATAGATACACACACATATGAGAAATCAGAATAAAGGTTAAATATTATTAAATGCATAGGAGGAAAAACCAAGAGAAAGCAGTGTTTTAGAATTGAGGGGAAGAGAGATTATCTAGAAGGAAAATGGTGGTTGGAAGTGTCAGAAGTTTCAGGGAAGTTAAGTAGAAATAGGGCTAAGAAAAAAGGTTATTACAGCAGCAGGCATAGCTTGTACATACCCAGGCCTAGCTTCATACCATCCAAAGAAGAGGGGCATACATACACACATCTTCACATACATCCACACAGAAACATACATACACAGGACCAACATAGGAAAACCTGTCCTATGTCTGATTGTCACCTACAGAGGTCTAATGGGTGCTGTGGTCGTGCCATTGGCAAAGAGAATTCAAGGTGCCACTTGTCACTCAGGGATTATGTTGTATGTCAGTCATGAGATCTGTGCCCAAGTGCTGGATGCCTCCCATGACTTCTCTTAGTCTTAGAAGTCCACCAGAGATCTTCGTTGGTAGTGGAACTTCATCCCTGTGACAAGGCTATCAATCTATCCTAGACACTCTCACAAAGACAGATCCTTTTGGTTTCTCTCCTGGTTCTCCAGGAGAGGTGTACCTGCTACACCAAGACTATTCTCCCTTAGATAATGATGGCTCTCATGAAACATTCTTATTGTTTGTTTGTCATCAGAGTTTTGTTCTACCCTGTTGATTAATCTCCATGTTAAGATTCATCATGCTACTACTCTCTATCCCTGGCAATCCAGAGCCTCCAAGAACATTGCTTGAATAGGTGGATAATTGTTGCTCCAATTAATAACAAATTCTCAATTGTTCATGCTGGAAACATATGATTTCCTTGCTGTTACCTTCTATCCATATGTGGCTTACAATATAATCTTGAGAGTAGGGATTGTTTTAGTCTCTGTCTTTATAGGTTCAGCACCTAGGACAGAGCCTGGCAAATAGTACCTGCTTAATAAATACTCTTTTCTAGATTGATCCCAGGTCCATTACATCTCTAAATGTTGTGGGTTTGGGATGGGGGAAAGCCCCTTCGGGAAACAAATGGTGCCCGCCATAACTAATAGACATTGTCATAGCAGTAGTTATAGGAGCATGTAGTACGGATTTAGAAGGGCCTTGGAAAAGGGATTAGTCTCACATGGCCTAGCATAAAAATAAACACACACACCAAAGATCTCACTGCACTAAATTGAAGAAACTATAAAACCTGAAGCCCTGTTCTTTACCCAACTCAATTCTACAAATAGTTATTACAAACCTACTGTGTATTAGGAACTAAGATACAAAGACAAAAGAAAAACAATTCTTTTCTTGCTGGCCAAGTCTTTTCACTTATCCCTTAGACTATTTTTTGACATTGGCACTAACACTGCTTCTGATTCCAACATTATCATCTGCTCCTGGTCCCCCAGGTCAGGAAGCTGTTTCCTAGTTTCCAGCAGTGAATTGTATGTTTCCGACCCCTTCCTGTTATATATTCATATGTTCACACAGATCTCTGTATGAACATACCACACCCTCTTCCCCATCTGTCTGTCTCTCACAAATCTCACATTACATACATTTAAATGTATTCCTACTTTCACACACTTTTCCTCACACACTCATACATGCATATGATATACACATATAAATATGTTTGTATATGTATATAAATGTATGTATTCACAGTCACTACTTATTACACCAAAATATTTCCTTTGTTCCCTCCCTTCTTTCCTTCCTTCCCTCCCTTCTTTCCTTCCTTCCCTCCTTCTTTCTGTCCACATAGGGTATCATACCCTATCTGCAGGTGTTCGGCCCAAAAGGAATGTAAATTTTATTCTCTGAAACTTTTTTTCTCCCTTAAAGACCAGCCTTAACCTCAAATTCCTGTGGCTCTCATTGATTGGCCAACAATAGGTCTCAGGCCGAGCTCTACTTGGTCATTGTTTGGGCCCTGATTGGCCCAGAATGAATGTAAATAGCAGTTGTTTCTGTTTTGTCCAGAAACCTAAAGGTCTTCCCAAACCAGATCTATTTTTTTGCCTCATTTCTTATTAAGCCTTAATGACTGAATGGGTATTGCCTCAGTCAAACTGAGACCTGTTAAAGACCTTACCTTGAAAAGGCTAAGGCCCCTCACTGCATCCTAGGCCTTCTCCAGTCATCCTGATCTATATCTCATCACTGGACCCAGATGGCTCTAGAGTACAAAGTGAGACTGGTGACTTTGCACAGCCCTCCCTCACTTATATCCAATTCACTTGCATGTCATGGCATCACCTCCCTGATGTCATGGTCCTCTTCAAAAAATGAAGAACAAACAGCAACCTCTGTGTTACTCTAGACTGTAAATTTGGTCATACAGTACTTAACTTTTTCTGCTCCCTTCTTGCTTTTCAGCTTTTGTTTATCTGCTCCCTAGGAGGAGGGTTGATAGTTTAAGGTGTGATTTTTTTTTTTGGCTCCCCGCACTAGTTCCTCCCATACCCCCTTTTCTAGGAAACAATGAGTAAGGTTGAACTCCTAGGGGAGTGAGCTATCTTCCCAGACCCACTCTTGCATTCTGCCCTAACTTAGATTCCTCTACATTTTTAGCTATCCCCTGGTCTCTTTATATTTAAGGGGAAAAACAAAACAAAACAATCAGTCTAGAAGAAACTAATTACCAATATTACTGGTTCTTAATATATAGGTATAACTAATATAGTGGTACAGAAGAGGTTGGGTAAGAAATAGACCTCAAATATAAAGGGACCAGGGATTGGCCAAAAATGTAAGATTTAAATTAAGGCAAAAAGTCAGACCTTTGTTGGAATGATAAGAATTTGCCTGAGAGCTTCAAACTGTTGTGATTGTACTAATAACTTTCATCTGACACAAATTCAGTAAAACAGCTGAAGTATATCCATGAGGGCTTGGGGGAAGAGCATCGTTTCATCTCTAGGCTAAAATTCAACCTAATTGTCATGACAAGTTGTGGATGGTTAAATCTCCCTAGAGAAGAGGAATAGGAAGGACAGGGCAGTAGTCACAGAAAAGATCATGTCCTAAAGCAGTCCCAGAGAGGAGATAGGAAAGGCCTGGGAAAGCTTCAGTGCTATCCTGTCCAGCATCAAAGAGAGAGTAGAAGGGCTAGAGTACTGGCTGGCCAACACCACTCTGATACCCAAATGTTAAGCAGAAGTGAGCTTCCTTCTTGGTCTCCTCATTATTAGGATTCTCCTTTGTTTAATGCCTTGAAGCTTCTTCTATGCAAGCAGGCTGCCCCTCCCCCCAAGACCGTATTTCTGGAGATCTGGGGAGTAAAAGAACCTTGAATCTTCTGTTGAGTAAGAGTAAGTCTGGGGATACAACTCAATCTCATTGGAGTTCATCTTTGCCTGTTATGTCCTAAAAGCCACTATGCTCTTCAAGCAGCCTCTGTGCTTGGCATGTGATAGATACTTCATAAATGCCTATTGACTGCTGCTTTTTGATTTTAGGATAAGAAATTCCTACTGGGTTATAGTCATGTAATAGGGCTGAGAGAGAGTGGGAGGGTCACCTCTATGTTTTTCCCTAACAATCAAGTGGGAGGAGTGGAGTTCAGTTACTATTCCTTGATACTGGAGAAGAACATCTGGGCCATGAAGAGAGTTTGCTGGTGACAAGAGAATGTTCAGGAGGTGCCAGGAGGTGGGGGAAGGAATTGAAGAGAAGGGCAGATGGTGGATCTGGGGGAATGGAGCTAATAGGGGAGATTTCAGCTGTGGTTGAGGAAAGGAGAAAAGAAGGGGCCAGTGGAGAAATGAAAAGAGTCAGGCTTTGATCAGGTATTTTATCTCAGCATGAAGAAAATGTTCCAGGAAGAGAATTCTTAAACCGCTGAATTTTTAAAATTTTTTTTTATTAATTTATTTTGATTTATCAATAATCACTTCCATATGCTTTTTAGTTTAAATTTTTTCTCCCCCCTCCTCCCCACTACCCTCCCCAAGACAGCACACAATCTGGTATAGGCTATACATATACATTCAGATTAAACATATTAAACTGCTGAATTTAAGAGAATTCCCTGGAGTCTTTGCTGAGTCTGGAGCAGGGATGAAAGTTCTTTTCTTTTTTAAAATGAGTGCTGATTAGGGGCAGCTAGGTAGAGCAGTGGATGGAGCACCGGCCCTGAGGTCAGGAGGACCTGAGTTCGAATCCGCTCTCAGACCAAACACTTGACACTTACTAGCTGTGTGACCCTGGGCAAGTCGCTTAACCCCAATTGCCTAAAAAAAAAATGAGTATTGGTTATATAGCAAAGACTAGGCAGAGGAACAGGATTAAAAGCAGTAACTTTTTTGTTCAGTGGCTTTTCAATTGTGACTAACCTTTTGTGAGCCTATTTGAGGTTTTCTTGGCAAAGATAATGGAATAGTTTGCCATGTCCTTCTGCAGCTCATCTTAAAGATCAGGAACTGAGGCAGACATGGTCAAGTGACTTGGGCAGGGTCCCACAGCTAGTAAGTGTCTGAGGCCTATTTTGAACTCAGGAAGATAAATCTTTCTGATCCCTAGCCCAGTGCTTTATATACTGTGTCACTGCTGCCCCAGCACCAACTTGCTCTTTTGTGATCTACACAAAGCTTTGGGACTTTTTCAAATAATTTTTACTAGTGTCTTTTACATCCCCTTAACTTATCCTAATACCTGGATATATAGATCTGGGTATCATTTATGTAGGTAGAATATTTGAACCTTTTGAGAAAGGGCTTATATTTATCATGTGTCAGTCAGCCTATAGGTATTTATTAAGTACTTACTGTATACTACTGTGCTTAAGGCTGGAAATACAAACAAAAGTAGAAAGTCTCTGCCCTCTAAGAGCTTACACTCTAATAGGGGAATGAGGCACATAAAAAGAAACTAAAAAGTTGGGTTTGGGGGAAGATACTTGCTTTGGGGCATGTCAGAGAAGGTTCTGAATGTATCCTAGAGGAGAATGAAGAAGTAGCTAGTGTGAGCGCCTTCCTTCAGTGGAAGTTCTTGGAGGAGCCATCCAATCTGAGGAAAAGGCCTTGGAAGTGGAGGGTGCTTCCATTGTGTTGATTCCTTGAAAGGAGTGAGCTCCCGGGATGCAGTGGTTCTTGAGACATGGTAGAGGAAAATCAGAGTGTAGACTGGAGGGAAACGAAGACAGAACTAGGACCAGGGGTAGAAGGTACAGGAAGGCAGTAAAGTGAAGGCTCAGTAAAAGGCAGGACTCCCAACTGCTTAGAGCTGTCCCAAAAGTGAGAAGTAGCCTCGTGACCTGGTAAGTTCCTGTCACTGGTAGCTGTTATGAAGAGCCTGGACAAGCTCTTGTTGGTGATATTATAGAAACTTACTGCCTTGCTTTGCACACCATAGACATGTAATCAGTGTTCATTGAAATGAAAATATGTTGCTGCTCCAAGTAAATACTTGATTTGATAAGCACTAGGGGCACTTTGCAAATGCAGTCACAGGGTCCCTGTCACCAAAGAATGAAGACTAATATAAGGTAGTTAGATCAAAATCAGTGTAACAGAAAGAAAATCTGTAAGATTTGAGAAATCACATGCAGTTGGGATGATCAGATAGTCGGATTTGTCTTGGGTCTTGAGGAACTGACAAGATTTTGATAAAGGAGGAGAGATAGTTTGTGGTGAGCACAAGACATTTCAATTCTGACTGCATTGTCACTGACTCTTCCTTATTCTTGGAATTCTCACCCTCCTCATCCCATCTCCAGGCTCCCCTGGCTTCCTTAAAATCTTAGCTAAAATCCCACCTTCTGCCAGAAGTCTTTCCCAGTGTCCCATTAGTGCTTTCTTGCTGAGATTATTTCTGGTTTATCCTGTTCATATGTTGCTTGTACATCATTGTTTGGATGTCATTTCCCTTCTTAGATTGTGAGCTTCTTGAGGATAGGGCCTCTTTTGTCTTTCTTCATCTCCCCAGCAATTAGCAAACTACCTGCCACATAGTAGGCACTTAATAAGTATTTGTGGAGTTGAATGTGAGTGGCTTAACATTAACTAAGCAGTGGAGGGTAAAAACCTCGTGACATATTTGGGGAAACTGGGAGGAAATAAAGATGGAAGAGTAGGAAGGCCTTGAATTGTGGGATGAACTTAGACTTTATCCTATGGACAAGACAGAGATATTGAAGGCTTCTAGTCAGGAATATGATATTGTCAAGGTTGTGTTTCAGAAAGATCACTTAAGTTGAGGTGCAGGCAGGGTTTGGGGGCTTGCCTTGGACACCAGCGATGTGAGGTGAGAGTAGAGTCGGGGGTAGCACTTCACCTCCATGTGGGCTCTGGGAACAATTATACCCAAACCATTATCTCAGGGTCTTTACCCAAAGATACCCCAGCAAATTTAATCCTGAACATCTCTATTGTGTTTGTTATGACTTTAGATGAAAGAAATAAGTATCTAGAATGAATGAGAGAGAAATTCAAATTCATGAAGGATAAGAACTCTCATCCTGGGGAGCATGAGCTCTTTCACCACCTATTCACACAGCTGCTGCTTCTTCAGGAGTACTGTTACAAGGACCTGAAACAACATTAGCTCCTAGTCCAAGGATGGTTACATGCTAAGGTCATGGAGAAGCAAGGACAGCTTATAGAGGTGTCAGCTTTATTTGACCCTGATCAAAAAGCATGCACCCAACCACCCACTGTTGTACTGCAGGGAGCTGCTGGTATTGGGAAGACCACTCTGGCCATCAAAGTGATGTTGGACTGGGCAGAGGGAAAACTCTACCAGGACAGATTTGACTATATTTCCTATCTCACTTGCAGACAACTGAACCCATTAGGAGAGAGAGAAATCAATTTTGTTGATTTAATTGCCAATTACTGTGGGCCTGGCCCACAGGCTCCCATGACAGAGATCATGACCCAGCCAGAGAGACTTCTGTTCATCATTGATGGTTTAGATGAACTGGAATTCCCTTGTAATGAACATGAATATGATCTGTGCAAAGACTGGAAGCAGCAGAGGCCAGTGCCCATCCTGCTGAGCAGTTTGCTAAGGAAAACCGTGCTCCCTGAAGCCTCCTTCCTGCTCACTACAAGACTCACTGCTCTGGGGAAATTTAGTCCTTTGTTAGAGAATCCACATCATGTGGAGATCCTGGGCTTCTCTGTGAGGCAGAGGAAGGAGTATTTCTGCAAATTTTTTGGAAAAGAGGATTTAGGTGAAAAAGCCTTTTGTTTAGTAGAAGGCAATGTGGCACTGTTCACTATGTGTCGTGTTCCCCTGATGAACTGGATTATCTGCACTTGCCTGAAACAACAAGAGGAGAGAGGAAAAGATCCCATCCAGGCTTTGAAAACTATCGCTGCCCTATACATGTGTTATTTTTCAAGTTTATTCACACCTGATGACAAGAACTTTGTACCTCAGCACCTCAGGGGCCTTTGTAGATTGGCTGCTGAAGGGATCTGGGAAAGGAAACTACTGTTTGAGGAGGAGGACCTGAGGAGGCATGGCTTAGAGGCAGCTGATGTCTCTGCCTTCTTAGACATGAACATTTTTCTGGAAGACACTGACTGTGAAAACTGCTACAGCTTCATTCGAGTTTCCAAGAGTTTTTTGCTGCCATGTTCTTTATGATGGGTACAGCCAAAGAAGGGGCAGAAAGTCCTGACTCTTCCATTCCAGATGTCAAAAAACTTCTGGAGGAGTGTATCCATCATGGTGCCAGCTTTGTGGTCCTGGTGGTGCACTTCCTGTTTGGCTTCCTAAATGCAGAGACAGCAAGGGAGCTGGAGACAAAGTTCAGATGCAGAATGTCCCCAGAAATCAAGTCACATTTATTGCTTGGGTTGAGAGAAAAATCAAAAAAGATGATAAATGTTCCTATTGTTTTGTGCCTGATTTCCTAGAATGGTATTCTCATTTATATGAGACTCAAGACCCTGAGTTTACAACACAGGCACTAGGTAACAACCAAGAAATTTTAGTAAACGTTTCCAACCAGTGTGATGCCCTGAGTGTGGCTTTCTGTATCAAGCACTGCCCTGGGGCACAGAGAATTTGCTTGTGAGTATCTTCTTTTCTTATGTCTTAACAGCCTTTATTAGACTTTTTGCAAACAAACAGAACTGTGGGTCTTTCTTGTTCACTTTTCAGCTTTGGACTTGTGTCTAGCCCAGATTCTCACCCTTATCTTTCTTTGTTTGGGGACACGGAATTTTGGAACACAGGGTGCACCCCCAGGCTTTGTTGGACTTTATCTTTCCTTGTGCCTGTGTGGAAAACTAAGGAGATATTCTTTTCCACCACTTATGTGTTAACCCCTCTAAAAGCACGCCAGATTGAATCAGTGCTATTAAAGTTGTGGTTGGCAGCAAAGAGATCATTGCATAGACGATACTGTCATCTTCAACTATGCCAGGAAAAGAAAAGGACAAAACCTGTGTGTAGATTTCTATATCTAGTTGAGATCATTTAAAGGATATTCTGTTCAGATAACTGAGGTCCTGCAGAGTGGGGAGAAGACCAAGGAGCTGGGAGGGAGGCCCTGGGGGTGGAGTCATGCAAACTTCCAGGTTTGTGTCCAACAGTTTTCTATTTTTGAACAGGAAAGATCCCATCTCTAGGATCTGCTACAAATGCTCCTTCTCTTTTAGGATCTCTGTGGCAGGGGTTGAAAGGTCATAAACTGGTATTGTGGCACCAGTTCTCTGCTTCGAAATCTTTCAGAATGTCCCTGCTTGTGGGAGAAAAGCAGGGAGAAGGGAAGGGAGGGAGAGGAGGTCTCATCCCATAGCTGTTAATGATAAGAGCCTGCTTGTCATGTTCTTGGTGGGATTCTAAGATACTCTCTCTTGCACTGTTGATTGTGGGCTCATAAAGGACTACAGTCCTCATGCATGTTCATGGCAGAATTTCAGATTCACCTTCAGCCTCCTCAGCCAGACCCCAGACTCTGAAGCCCATCCTGGTGGTGGAGGGAACAGGCTAATATTCACTCAGGGCCTTTTGTTCATCTCTTCACCCATTGGAGTCTCTTGCACGTCTGAGATGGCTCAGCAGGAAGTGGTTTTCATGCTATAGTAAGTCTTTACAGTGTGTCATCTTGCAAATGTATTTGAAGCTACCTTTTTGTGGGGGGAATAAAAGGTTGTCATTAGTAGCCCCTGCCTGGCAGCTTCATTAGAGTTAACTAGGTAGCACAGTGGATAGACTTGTGATGAATGAAATTTTGGGAAGGCAGAGTTTCTGGGTAATTTATAAATTTTTAATTATGGCTAGCAAATAATTAATAGATTGAGGTCAGTGACCCTCCTGGAAACCAAAGGGTCCCACCCCCACAACTTCCAGTGTTTAAATAGCCTTGGGAGACTGGGTAGACAGTACAAGTAGACCAGTATACATCAACTTTGACAAGTAGAAATCAAGTCTGAATGGTTAACAATTAATAAGAGAATGAATATTATAATGTGAAGTGGGCTTATTTTAATGAGAAACTGGGAGACATGACTCTGACCATTTCACTCTTGGACAAAGAGACTCATCTATACCCAGACCACACCTGCCTCAGGAATCGAGACAAAGGGATCTACCTCCTCCCAGGCTGCTTATGGGATTGAACCTTAATGGGCCCAGAATTTACCTAAATTAGATTTTCTTTAATTAGAACAAAGCTTTCCTAGTTGGGAGGGGTCTTGCCCAAGACTGAGGAGAATGTTATCCCAATCTCATCACCCTTCATGAGAACTGTGCTTTGAGTCAGTAAATAGAAAGGGAAAAAAACCCTGGATCCTCCCCCTCATCTCCATATTAATTGGTTATTAATAATCATTTCTCTCAGACTGCTGGCCTAGGATTCAGGAGGATATGAGTTGAAATGTGTCCTCACACACTCAATAGCCTTGTGACCCTGTGGACAAGTCATTTGATGCCTATCTCAGTTTCTTCATCTGTAAAATGGGGATGATAGCACCTGCCTTCCAGGGTTGTGAGGATAAAGAAGATATGCATCCTCTTATGCCAATAGTAGTTTTCTATTACAAATTCTCTAATTACTGTGCCCTAGAGAGGGCTCTTGGTATAATTAGGTCTCCCCTTATCCTGAAAGACGGAGTCTATCATTATAAATTTTGGGCTTCTGACCATGTTAGATATGTAGACAGGTTTCTTCCTCCTCCACTCAGCCTTACTGATCTAGACATTGGCCTCAGCATTGCCACTGAGCCTGTGGGGGTTGAAGTAAGAAAGACAAGGGGAAAAAGTGGTTAGGAGCAGGGGGCGGGGGTGATATGAAGCTGATGGAACAGGCAGTGGCTATTACTTGGATTTGTTTCAGATACACTGGCCTTCAGAGTTCCAAGCATCTAATGCCACCTGTTCTTAATTCCCTAAGAATTGCTGGAATTTGCTATTGGATCTTTTCATTTGTCCATACACACAAACAGAAACACACATTAATACTGGGAGCAACTTGAGTGCCACTGATACCCACAGTAAAATTACCTTCTAATTTCTCTCTCCAGTTCTTATATTGATGATTTACCTGCTTGTGCTTGGGAAGAACTCTCCTCTGTGGTCTGCGAGAATCAGAACCTGAAACAGCTCAGGTTGTCCAGTAAGACATTTGCTGATAAATGTATGGAAAACTTTTCTGTGGGACTAAGAAATCCAAATTGTAAACTGGAAAAACTGATGTAAGTCTAAGCTGGTCCTATAGCTGGGGTGGCTGCCTATGTGGGAGTGGGGAAAGTGAGGTAAAGAACTAAGGAAGATGTGAAAAATAAGGTTTTAGGAGGAAAAGAAAGGAAGTTCAGAATTTAAATGAGTGGAAAGGTAGGACAATGAAAAGAAGAGTGAGGAAGAAGAGAGAGGGAAAAGAGACATATGATCCTTCTCACCACTGTTATCTGATAGTATTCTAGAAATACTAGTTATAACAATAAGAAAAGAAAGTGAAATTAAAGATAGACACATTAGCAACGAGAAGACTAAGAAAACTCCAGAGTCAGTGAAGAAACTAATTGATAATAAGATCATAGATTTAGAGTTGGAAAGGACTTTGGAGACCATCTAGTCCAACCCTCTGATTTTACAGATGAGAAAGTCAGGCTCACTCACATTAAGTGACTTGCCTAAGGTCATACGGGAAGAATTTAAACCAAAGTCACCTGACTCCAAATCCAAAGCACTTTCTACAGCAGCATCAATAAGGTAACAAGGCACAAAATTTATTCTCCTGCGCATAATGAACAAATCATGTCTTTCTGTAAAGTAGAAACAAAAACCAGGAAGAAACGATGATAAAAGATCTATATATCCAACTTTTATCTCTCTTTTGAGATCTTGCCCTACATTTCAAATTGGACGTTTCAAACCGGATATCCCTTAGGTATCTCAGATGCAACACGTATATATAGGCCACTGGGCTTGGAGTCAGGAATATCTGGGTTCATTTTTTGCTTCAAACAGAACCCTGGACAAGTCATTTAACCACCTTGTGCCTCAGTTTCCTCATCTGAAAAATGAAGGGGATAGACTCCAAGGTCTCTTCCTACTCTAAATTTTCAGAATTCATTAATCCCCCTTCCCCCACCCTCAGTACACACTCCTCTTCCAACTGTTAAGGAAACCACCATTCTTCTAGGTAAGCAGGTTTGTAATCTTGGGGTCATCCTTAGTTCTTCATTCTTCCTCATTCCCTGTATCCAATCAATTACTACATATTGCTGATTGTACTTCCTCAATCTCTCTCATATCCCTACCTTCTTCTCTGCCCACATGTCTACCATCCTAATTCAAACCCTTATAACCTCTCACTTCAATTACAGAAACTGCCTCCAAGTTGATCTCCCTGCCTTGTGAGCATGCATATGTTTGTATGGCTATATGTCTATATGTATGTGTGTCTAAATGTATATGATAAGATCAGAGTATTCTATCTAAATATATGTATGTATGTATATATATGTGTATATATATATACCCACATATATATATATATACACACAAGTGAGTATATATTTGTGTGTATATATTTATATCAATCTATATGTGTACATATATGTATGTGTTTGTGTGTATATGCACACATGTACATGCATACTTCAGATATTTTCTGCTTTTCATTATTTGAATGAAATTTTGATCAATCCACAAGCATTTATTAAACACCTGCTTTTCACTGTGCAGGGTGCTGGAGATAAATGGTAAAAAGAATGGTAAAGAATAAATGGCTACATGGAAACATGATCCAAATGACTAATAGTAAGATAAATATAAATGAAAACCACTCAGGTTTTATTTTATACTATGTAAATTGGTAAATATTACAAAAATATGACAACAGTCAATCTTGGAGATACTTTGTCAATAAAGAAACACTAGTACTCTGTTGGAAGGATGGTGAATTGATCTAACTGTCCTTGGTATCCATTTGGAACTATGCAAAAAAAAATTAGAAATCTTCCATGTCTAATAGAAACATTTTACTCAATTATATACTAACAAAATGATAATTTAGAGGTAACACAGGAATATTTTAAAAAATACAAAAAAAATCCTAGATTAACACAGAAAGAAGTAAACTATTTTAATAATCCATTAGCAGTAAAAAGAAATTCCAAAAGCCATGAATGAGCTTCCAAAGTAAAACTAAACTTCAGGACCAGATGGATACACAAGTGGATTTCATCAATCATTCAAAGAACAATTAATTCCAATAACACATAAAACATTTGCAATAATAAGAAAAGGAAACCTTCCAGTCTCTTTCTCCAATATAAATAAGGTCATAATAACTAAACCAGGGAGAAACAAAGAAGAGAAAGCAATCTGAAGACCATTAACCCTAAAGAACATTGAAACAAAAATGATAAAATATTATAGGTTATAACAATAATAAGATCATAAATTATGACCAGGGTTGGTTCAACATATGGAAGACTAAGCCATGTTAATAATACAGTAATAAAAATCATATGATAATATAAAAAATGCTGAAAAATATTTTGAGTAAATCAGATAATCCTTTTTTCGTTAAAAACTCTAGAAATCATAGGAATCAATGGATTTTTCCTTAGTATAGCAAACTGTCTTTACATCAAAGAACGAGCATTACATACAATGGAGAGTCTTTTCTGTAAGATCAGGGGTAAAACAAGGATGTCCATTATCACCACTGCTATTTAACATAGTGTTAGAGATGCTTGGCAGAGCAATAAGAAAAGAACTGGAGAGAATGTACGTATGCAAGGAGAAAACAAAATTATTCTTTTTGCAGATCATATGATGATGTACTTTCATGACTCTAGAGAGTCAATTGATCTCAAGAGAGTAAAAAATTAATTGAATTAATAACTTCAGCAAAGTTGTAGAATATAAGATCAAATCACATAAATTTTCATTTCTCTATATAATCAGCAAAATACACAAGAAGTGCTAAAAAGAAAATACATTTAAATAACTACAGAAACTATAAAATATTTTAGAGTATGTCTACCAAGATCCACCAAGAGGCCCTATGAATCTCACTACAAATCACTCTTTGTTGAAATAATGGCAGACCTAACAAATGGGAGAAATACTGATATTTCTCATTAGTGGGTCAGACCAATATATTAAAAAAATGACAATATTACCTAAATTAACCTTCTTATTCAGTGCCATGCAATTCAAATTCCCAAAAGAATGTTATTAGAGATATAGAAAAGCAAAATTAAGTTTGTATGGAAGAGCAAAATATCAAGAATATTGTGGGTAATAGTGAAAAAAGTTGGGAGCCTATGCTATGTTCACTGAATAAATTCATCAAGGTGGGACCTGCTTTGTTCACTAATTCCACAGGCTGGAGAAATTCCAATATATTCCTGAACAGGAATCCTCTCAGAATATCCCCGAAACATGATTGTATGCCTCCCCAGTAGAAGACCTCCTGTGATGGGGAAGCCAAGGGCTTGTGAGGCAGTTCCATCTATGTTTGAACAATTTATGTAGTTAGAAAATTTGTCTTGATATAGAACTAAATTCTGGCTCTCTTAAACACACTCTCACACCACTATTTTGTTTTCAGATAGGTAGAGCACATTTCAGACCTCTTCCATGTGACTGACCTTCAGTTACTCCAAGTTATTGGTTCTTTTCCCCAACCTATATTTGTCATTGTCTCTAATCCTCTTGAATTCTTGTCATGCTTTTCTGGACATGCTGTATTGTCAGTCGGCTTCCTAAATGAGGCAAGGATCCATTGGTGGTTAAGAAGAGGGAGGGGGCAGTCCTTTTGTGCACTGCCCTGGTCAAGATACCAGGCCTCTGTAGTCTCATTTGTAGGTTTCACTGCTGCCATTTGTTTGTGTATGATAATTGTTTCTCTTTAACTTCTCCCTGCCCACTGAACCCTCCCTTGAAACTGAGAAAAGCATTAAGCAAAGCCATATGACCCAGCAACAATATCTGTTTTTGTGTATATACCTCATTCTGCTTCCATTGTCTGCCTACTAAGAGGAGCAAATCTGTTTCATTTCTTAGTAATTTAGATTTTTTGTTATAATTACTATCAATTTGACTGTCTTTTATTTCAATGCCACTATTGATCACAATATTGTAACATTGTGGAGGTCGTGTCTTGACTCTGATTTTTAACTCTACATCCCTTCAGAGAAGTCTCCCCACATTTCTCTGAATTCTTAATGTTTTTTGTTTTAAATTTTTATTCATTTTAAATTAAAAATGATAAAAGAAAAAAAAATATTTCCATGTACACAGTAGAACATAAGAGAGGATTCAATTAAAGCAATCACTTTCTATTTCATGAAAACCTATGTAATAAATCCTAGACATTGTTTTCAAAGTAACCCAGCTTTTCTGTGTTCCTTCTAAGTTTTCTTTTGTTCTCTGCTATGTATTTATTTTTTCTCTTTCTCCCCCCTCACCCTAGAGAAGGCTACACTTAAACATGAATATATGTACATATACATGCATATCTACAAACATACACACCTATATGTATATATACACATAGTATGCATGTTATTTTTGTCAGTTCTTTCTCTGAAAGTGGCTAGAATCTTCTTTCATAGGTCCAATTCCTTCCATGTTTTCTAAATCAACCAGTTCATCATTTCTTATATCATAGCAGTATTCTATCACAATCATATCCTATTTGAGAGATTGTCTATGAAAGTTTTTCACCCAATTTTCTGTTTTCTTTTTTCTTTTAATTTTTTTGTTTTATTTGATATTTTTATGGTAATTTTTTATTTATTTTTTTGTTTTCAACATTTACTTCCACAAGATTTTGAGTTCCAAATTTTCACCCCATCTCACCCCTCCCCCCACCCCAAGATGGCATGCATTCTGAATACTCCTTCCCCTAGTCTGACTTCCCTTCTATCTCTCCTCCCCCCTTCCCTTATCCCCTTCCCCTTCAATTTTCCTATAGGGCAGGATGGATTTCTGTACCCCATTTTCTGTATTTCTTATTTCCCAGTTGCATGTGAAAACATTTTTTTAAACGTGTTTTTAAAACTTTGAGTTCCAAATTTTCTCCCTTCCTCCCTCCCCACCCACCCTCATTGATAAGGAAAGCAACTAAATATAGGTTGTATATGTGCAGTTATGCAAAACACTTCCATAGTAGACATGCTGTGAAAAACTAACTCTATTTCCCTTAATCCTATCCCATCCACCCATTTATTCT